CTTCTCCTTGCAGACTCATCCTTGGCCCTTGGACCTTGCCACAGAGCTTGGCCTTGGACCCTCTCCCACTAGCCTTGCTCAGGGCCCCACACCCTAGAGGCCTCTCTCAGCACCCATCCCCCACCTCACCTCTCTCACCTGCCAAAACCTCACCTCAGGTTGAACGTACTTGGAAAATATCAAAGAGGAAGATGGGGGTGTGGAACCACCAGAGGGCAGTTGCCAGGATCACACGACACCTTTGCACCAGGCACTATACAAATCACTTGAATCTTTGAACTATCCTGTAAACTCAGGATTTTAACCACCTTCTCAATGAGAAAACTGAAGCTACTTTAAGATCACATAGCTAGTAAGCCGCAGAGTCACGATGTAAACCCAAATGAGTCTGACTCCAAAGTTGCCAGGATTAGTTACACTTTTACAGTGGTCAGGGACGTGAGCCCGAAGGCTGGTCAGGGTCACAAACACAAGGCCGGGAGGGAGGGTGCACAGAAAACCCTCTCACGGGCCCTGGAAGATGTTGGCTCCAGCTCCGCATCTGTGGGCCCTGCTCCTTGGTCTCCACCTGAGTCCCATCTTTTCTTCACACCCTTGTCCTTTATCCACATGTATTTCAGGGTTAGTTTTCTGTAGTGGAACACGCAACTGAATATCTGCCTCACATATTCAAATTTTGGATTCTACGTTTGTTGTAAGAACTACCTCTCTTTACCTTTCTCCCCATGTCCTCTGAAAAATGTAAATAAAATAGTAACAATGAAAACACCATTTGAATTCCTTACCTGGTTTATTAAAATTAAAACCAATATTATCTTGGATACCAACTACCTGGAGAAGTTTGTGCCGCTGGTATCTGAACAAATGATGGTAGTGATGGTGTCGGGGACCTGGACTCAACCTGACATCGGAAGGCTTGTGTGAGTTCAGGTGAAGAGCTCCTCCAGCAGCATGTCCTCCCTTGCAACAGCTTCTTTGAGCTGACATTTGCAAAGCTTCCTACCAGCCTAAGGAGCCACAAGTGAGTTTTCATGGTCGTGAGACCCCACCCAGCAATTCAATGGCAGCAATCCGTCACTTCTCTACTGAGGCTCCAGGAAGCATCTGCCTATGCACGGGAGTGGCCTGTGCATGCAGAAGCAGCCCCATGGGAGAGATGCAACCCAGATGCATTCTTCTGCTTCCGGTAGAATTGGGGTTCTGTACAGAGGCCATTAAAGAGTCAGTTCACTGCTGATGGCTTTTGTCCCACATTCCTCCGACCTAGTCAGTGACACAGATGTGAACCACTCTCTTCTTGCTCTGAATGGAGCTCGAGAGCCCTCCTGAAGAGCCCCCACTACACTGACGTGGGCCCAGCTGCCAGCTCTCCGATGTGTCCAGGGTCTGTGTGAGGAAAACAACGCTGGATTAGATTAACCATCATGCTGGATTCGATTAACTCCTTGGCCAGAACAGTTCTGCCGTATCTCATTGACCAAAGGCATTTTGGCAGTAAATTGCCATGCTGTAAAATACTTTAAAGCAGGGCTCATTATACCTTGAGGATGCATAGAAAATGAGGCCATGGGAGAAAAAAGAAAAAAATAAAACCTTGGGGTCTAGGAACGTTTGGTTCTCAAGAGGTTGTAATATGCAGAGGTGCAAGAAGCCAGAATGGAGATGGTTTTGTATCACCTGGAAAAGGCCATCTGGCTGCTCAGCAGCCGTCCCTTCTAGCACCCGATGTGGGGTTGGCATTTATGCAATAGCTCAGAATGCAGGTAGAAGAAAAGTCTTAGAGGTCATCGATTCAAGCCTCGTTTCATTTTGTAGAGGGAAGAACCAAGACAAGAGAAAGGATGTCACTCAGCTAGGGTGACATAAGAGAAATTGGCTCTCCAGATTTTCAGTCTATTGTTCTTCTCACCATCCCTTTACCAGGGATGCTCTGGTCCCTGGAAAACATACACAAAGGATTATTTTCCATAGAGAGGACGTAGAATTGTAATAATCAAGGGCATAGACTCTGTAGACGGAGTGACTCAATTCTAATCTAACTCTAGGTGTATAAGTTATATAATCATAGTCAAAGTACCTAACAGCTCTGTTCTTCAGTCTCCCCATTAATATAATGGGAATATCAACAGTACATAGCTCAGTGGGTTTGGTAAAGATTAAATGAGCTAACAACATGTTTAGCATTTAGAAGCATACTTGTCACATAAAGTGCACAATATGAATAGGTGTTATTATTGTGATCCTGAGCAAAATGAGCGCCTTTGCTATCCACCAAGTCACCTTCATGGTTTCCACTCTTTGGAACACTCAGCTGAAGCTGAGCCGTGGCTGTAGCCCCCGCCTGATCAGTACTGAACATCTATGGCAACTGCCACATCCAATGACAGACACTCACGGCTCCTTCTCTTCTCTCCATACCTCCCACTTCTATGCTTTGCTTTCTATATACCTAACTTCTCCTCTTAGCAACATGGAACTTGTGTTACACATGACATCGCAGAGATGCGAGCATCCAAAGTAGAAGTTGGAATAAAGTCATTTCTACACCAAGTCTTCTGTCTCTCTAGAGTAAGAGCTTCCGTTGGTTCATAAGTTAATATCAACAGAATGAACTGAAGACACAGGTGTATAGTGGTTAGACATTTATAGAAACATACGAGTTTCACAATCACAAATTTACATTGCTCATTTTCTTATAAACTCATTTACAGTCTAAATTATTCATCTTTTTCAGTAGACAATATAGTCAATTTACTTGAACTTTAACGTGGACATTTTCCAACTCAGTACATTCTGTAGGCCAGCATGGTTTCTTGGGAGATAGAGCTGGGCTGATGTAGGCCCCAGAGTTGGGCTACTTTCTGTAAGTATTTATGGAGCCTCCATGGAAGTTGCAGCTCTGAATTAGAGACTTTATCCTTCCCTTGGATACTCTATTTAAAAAATAAATAAATAAATAAATAAATAAATAAATAAATAAATAAATAAATAAATGCAGAGAAATGTGAACCAGAATCTCAAGCTATCATGTAAAAGTGAATTTTTAGTTAATAAGAGAATTATGTACATTGTAAATAAGAGGTAGAAACGTTATCGATGTTGAAATCCCTGTAGTTCCAACCGTTGGATGCTCACTGCTGACGTGAGACCAATACTTTCCCAAGCAAAGGTTAACATCAGTCCTTTGTAGGCAGGTGCAGATCCACACCATTAGGTTGACAAACAAGCCAACTGACTGGGTCCTGTCTGAGAAGACCCTGCATCACTTCTGCTTTTTAAAGTAGCCACGCTCATTTCCAATAAGCCAATTTACTTCTAAAAAGGCAGTGTCATGGGGGCTTGGATAGGTAGAAGAGGTGGGCTCACCTTCTTGTAATTCCTTCACTTGGTCTATTGGTGGCTCCTAATCCCTTGGCTTGTTCTTGCTTTTGCTTTCCCTGGAATACTCTCTGCTCACTAGCTGATGGTCTTCACTATGACCCTGGGATACTCTCTGCTCACTAGCTGATGGTCTTCACTAGACCCTGGGATACTCTCTGCTCACTAGCTGATGGGCTTCACTATGACCCTGGGATACTCTCTGCTCACTAGCTGATGGGCTTCACTATGACCCTGGGATACTCTCTGCTCACTAGCTGATGGTCTTCACTATGACCCTGGGATACTCTCTGCTCACTAGCTGATGGGCTTCACTATGACCCTGGGATACTCTCTGCTCACTAGCTGATGGTCTTCACTAGACCCTGGGATACTCTCTGCTCACTAGCTGATGGGCTTCACTATGACCCTGGGATACTCTCTGCTCACTAGCTGATGGTCTTCACTATGACCCTGGATACTCTCTGCTCACTAGCTGATGGTCTTCACTATGACCCTGGGATACTCTCTGCTCACTAGCTGATGGTCTTCACTAGACCCTGGGATACTCTCTGCTCACTAGCTGATGGTCTTCACTATGACCCTGGGATACTCTCTGCTCACTAGCTGATGGTCTTTACTAGACCCTGGGATACTCTCTGCTCACTAGCTGATGGGCTTCACTATGACCCTAGGTTCTTATGGCTTGCAGTGAAGGTAACGATGGAGCACAGAGGCAGAGACAGCCACAGTCACATCCATCTGCCATGGCCCTTTGCGCAGGCTAGAACAATCCCATTCACACGGGTTGTCTGCTCAAGGACAGCAGATGGAAGCAGAGGGGCGGCGCCTGTGGGTCTGTGGCCTTTCTCAGTGGAATGTGAATGGCTCACTAGGGCTGTCGAAAGGGCCAGGAAGAGGGAAGAGGAAAGAAAGAGCTACAGGGAGAGCTCCTTCCCGCCCAGTCATTAGGGAGCAGTTTGGCTTAAAGGCTGAGTCTTCTTTGTTCTTTTTGAAGAGGCACCACTCACTGGCTGATGGAATATACCCAGTGGTCATCTTTAAAAATCTTGTGTATTCTTCCTCAACCACATCAGGAGGGGCCTCCACAGTACCTCAGTTACACAGGACGAAAAGTCTGCCACATCAGCACCTACACTCCTGCAGCTCACAGAGTTGCTCTATTCCTCCTTATCCCCTCCCACTTGGACCCTCTCCTGCACCCCATGGCTATTCTTTCCACTGTCATCCCTGTCTGACCAGGACGCTGTCTCCAAAGACAGAACACAATTAGCGGAACTGCTTATGAAACGGCCATCAGGTCCTGCCATACCATTTGCCCTGTCTGCAACCCAAACTTTTAGCCCGTATCCTAACTAACAATCATTACCTCCCTCTATCCCCTCTGTGTTAGCCTCCGTTTTTCAGAGCAGGCTACAGTGGCCAGGACACCCCTGATTTGCCCCTTAGAGTTTCTAAATACTCCCTATGGCTCTTTCCATCCGCCCAGACTTAGTAGGGTCAGTGGTGGGAGTGAACGGTGGGGGAATGCTCACAGAGAAGCATGTCTATATATTTGCTCATCAACAGTATGGTACCTTTGGGTGCATGCTAATGGCTCTGTCTCTCTTTCCCCTACACAGGGCCTGGAGCAGTCATTGATGGTGTAAACTCGGCCTCTAGAGCGCTGGCTTGTCTCTGGCTATCAGGGACCCTCTTTGTCCACTTCTTCATCAAGTTTTGATAAGAAACCATAGGTTCTCTCAGCAACGCCTGCTTCTCCATATCACAGACTTTAATCTACACTGCGGAGGGCAAGCCAGTTTGGGCTTCTTTTTGTTTCTGATATTTTTCTTGATTTTTTTTAATTTTGGGGTTTTGTTTGTTTATTTGATTCTTTTTTCCAATTTACATGAGTGGGGTTGGGGGAGGGGCGGGCAGGGTTCTACCATGTGTAGGATGATCATTCATTGGTGTGTCCAAAAAACAAAGTCTGGTCCTGCTACCTTGGCCCTTCCCTTTCCTCTGCTCCCCTCCCCATCATCACCACCACCAACCTCTCCTGTCCCACATACCAAAACATGAGCTCCATTTGGGCAAAAATGTGCCTCACGATAAACACCCCGAAGACACAACTTGACTATAATGTAGTACACAGCAAGAGTTACATCCAAGTGTCCTATTATCTGTGTCTTTTAAGCTTTGGACCATTTTTCTGATTACAATGTACATATCCCTCTCTCCACATTTACTATTCTGTAATTGCATTAGGTTCACATCCTTTCTTTCGGGGAAGTTATCTCAATGTATCCACACCTATAAATATGCATACATACATATATAATCTTGCCATCTTTCTGGCCACTCTGCTTTATTTGTGTTTCTCACCAGCTATAGGGATTAGAGCTTTGAAGCTATCCACTCAACCCAACACTAAAAATGTAGAAGTCAAAAGACCAAAAAGGGGGTAGGTATTTTGAGGATAGTATTTCCCTTTAAAAATGCTGTCCAACTCATTAAAAAATGATGCATAGGAAATGAATCATAGGCTGATTGTTTAGGTTTTATCAAGCTATCTATCAAGGTAATCATACAGTGATCCATCTCCTCAATTGTCTGGTTTTCCTCTCCATTTGATGCTCTGCCCACACACCTTCCTCTCTAGCAATCTATTTACTCTATTTATCAATCTATCAATGTAATTTTCTAATACTTCTTCTATTTCTTTACCCACCATCAATTAATCGCCATATTAATATGCAATCATATTGTGTCTATTCAACTGTATTCATTTCTCCTCTACCTTCAGCTGACATTGGTATCTTCAAAATTGCCTATCAGCTTCTCATGTGAAAGCCAATGATCTCACAGGCTAACAACATAGAAAAGCAATATGTCATGGACTCTTTGGAATGTGATATCCCATCCACCCAAAGTAGATGCTGTTAATGGATGGACCAAAGTAGAATTCTAATGATATTCCCAGAAGAGACTGTGTTCCCAAAACATCTCCTTGGGAAGCAGATTGACCCTGGAGAAGCCTTGATTAGTACTGTATTTTTCTTTTTTTTCACACACGAAGGACCAAGGTGCCAACCTTCATGCTTCTCTCTGTCTTTCCAGAAAGTGTATGTCAGAAACCTATGGGATTTACCCCATGTCTGGCTTTTCTTAATAACAAGAACAAAGAAGAAAAAAATACACACTTGTCTGTGGAATGTAAAGAGAGCAGTCCACCTGTCTGAGTGTGATGACTTCAGCTATTGTCTCCTCTCTGCTCCAGTTTCAGTTTAATCTGTTTGAAAACTATCTGGTAAAAAGCTGATGAAGCCAATTACATGGTGGGTGTGTTGACAACGCTGGTGTTTGTATCAGGAAGCTCTTCTGAGATGCGGAGGGCACTTGAGCAACTGACTTAATTTCCAAGCACTTGATTAACACAACACTGCAAACAGAAGGGGAAAGTGTAAGTGACTCACAATTTCCTCTGCTACAGGCTTCTTCTCCACTGGCTTTGGGGAAGAATGTCCTCAGATCTCCATCTTCAAAGCACACCCAGCATATAAACAGGAGCTGACCTGATCTTTCTGCATTATCTTCTGGGACAAGGAGGACTCAGCCAGCGCAGATGCCTGCGACCCAGAAGAAAGGCATGAGAGCCACACGGGGCTGTGCTGCTCCTCACCTGTGCTGCAGGGTCTGTCCTACTGAGCAGCTGAGAAAGAAGCATCAACAATGACTCTCTCACAGACCTGCCTGCCTCAACTGGGAAACTCTTTCAGGAAAATCATAAACAATGAACATGTGCGTGGCCATATGCATATATAAAATACAAACCTGGGCTGTCCTGGCGTGCAAAAAGCTAGGCACTGTCATAAGAGCTAGAGCTAGTGCAAGTGAAATTAATATTACATTTGCCAGCTGTAAACAGACATCTGCATTTCCTAGTGAGCCGCCAGGAGCCAGATTCTGCGAACATAAATGATGTGCCAAAAGCGGTGTACTGATTCCAAGTTGCAGGGACAATAATGAGCAGGCATAAAGTCATAATTAAAAGTCGGACATCAGTGTTTCAGATCTGTCACCCCGTTCAGCACCTGGAGTGGAGCTGGTGTCAGACCGTGTGTGAGAATTAAATGTGTCATTGGAGTGTTCTACTGATAATAAAATTGATACTTTGGAATAAAATAAATGTGGAGGCTGTGGAGAGTTGGTGGTTTTGGAGAACAGTGCTCCTGACATGGATGAGCTGATCAAGTTCTTCACTCTAAGACTTGCGCTGGAGGAAGAGGCCCATCCTCCTTGGGCCAGGAAGAGCATCAGGACCTTCCGGACACGGCAGGGCGGGGTCTCAGAGGCTCCGTCATGCTCCGCACCCCTGCTCCCACTGGAGAGCATGAGGACCTCTGGTGGTTGCCTATTCTAGCCACATTTCAGAGAGGGAGCTTATAGCCAATCTTCGTCTGTCTGGGGTGGAGAAAATCGAGTAAATAAAACTCATGGAAACCGGGCACTGGAGAAGAACATTTCTCTTCCTCACGGCAGACGCACCCAGCTCCATGTTGTTTGGGTTACTTTGAGGGGGTAGCTCTACATGACAGCGGCTCTTCCCCAACATGTAGACGCATACGGAACAGTAAACGCTCACTAAACACCGTATCCACACATACACAGGCTCTTCCAACTTTCCACGTGCAGGGTGGCCGGATAGGACTGCTGGAGAGATTGTTCTCGAGGTGTCAGTGGGGGGTGCGCTAGGACTAAAGGAGGAAACCTAAACAAGTCTCTGAGCAACTGCAGCTCTCCACCCGTTTTCTGTGGGGAGAAAACCAAATAATGCTTATCAGGAGAGTAGATGAGAGGAACCCCGAAACCCTTCCCCTTCCCATAACAAAGTTCATACGGACTTCCACCAAAGCAAAGCCAGTGTAAGTGCTAATGTTGAGACTCTGGCCAAGCTCGTTTCTTAGAAGTTCAATGTCAAGTGCCTGATACAGTCACCTGCACGTCTAAGCAAGTGCGTTTCATTTTTCTCATTGTTTGACCCGGGGAGAGAAGACCTGCAGGAGAAGGGGGTGAAAACGCGCACGCGTTCTGCAGAGAGCACTGTGCATGGCTGTCCTGCAGCATCCATGCGCTCTGGATGGAAGGAAAGCGAGGCTGTGTCAATAAGGGGCCTGGACCTCCTCCCTCTGAAACCAGTGCCTCATACTCAATGATACGGTTCCCAGGTTGGGCAGTTAGTTCTCAAAACCTGGGTGGAAAGTGCGCTCTGGGACTCTAGAAACTGCACAACCAAGGATGAATTTATTTAAGTATCTGTTTCTGCGTCAATCCAGTTACCTTGCACTCAACATGGAAGAATTAGCAAGTTCGACCTATGTCAAAAGAACTCACACGGGAAAGTGTAGAGAACCTCAAGGTGGGCAGTGGATCCCAGAGGGAGCCCAGGCACTGTCGCTGCACATGGAGTGACCTCGCTTTGGTTCACGCTCCAGTGCTACTAAGATTGTCTTCTCTCTGGAGTTGGATGTGACTGCCACCAGCCCCATCTGTAGAAGGATGGGAGAAACGGTTCAAGGGGAGGAGCTGTGGGGTGGGGTCATCTCTCCCAATTTCACCCCGTGTCTTCACCAGAGAAAAACTGGCTTTGCAATACCTGGAACCAGCCCTCCATGCTCCCCCTTAACTGCCCTCCCTCAAAGAAAACAACCCACTTTTTTTTTCTTTTTTAAAAGAATAAAGTTTAATCTCTTTGGAATTAAGGAAAGCAACATAACATTTTTCTGCTAGGAAAAATTTATTTTTTCCTTTTTTTGTCCAACAAGGAGAATTTTTTTTCTCATCTTGCACAAGCCCCATACCTAGAAATGCTCGTACCCAATCACCTCCCTTTGCCATCCCACTTCCTCTGTCTTTTTCTTTTAAGACAAATAAGTTTGAGCAGTTGCAGTAAAACTTCACAGGTGTGTAACTAGGAAGACATCATTTTCAAAAAGATACCATATGATGAGAACTCCTAATGATCACTAAAAGTAAACAGATAAAAATGCCAGTCTCATTTCCCTCATTTCTTATTTAAGAGAAGAGAAGTAAATGAAAGGAAGAAGAAATAGATTTGCAATTAAAAGATGTGGCAAAAAGAGCTGAACACGTGTAATTTAACATTCAGGTGCAGAATACTGGAAGTCCAAAGGAATGTGGAGTGGACTCAATTAGACACAATTGTCTTCATCCTGAAAGTAGTCAGCGAAACCTAATTTCCAGTATTTTGAGAGACTCCTTTTCGTTTCTTTCAGCCGTGCCCATCTGAAGGCACACGGTTATTCCGGCTGTTCCGCATCACTGAGTGCAGAAAGGAAGACTGTGAACCTTGTACTGTTCTGTCTTGGCCACATTCTCTGCTATTGACAGATTTATAAGGACATCAATAATAGCAATGATAAGTAATAATAGCTGCCCTTGCGTTAGTTAGAGGGAGCATTTTTAATAATTCAAAAAATTTTGTGACATGTAAAGTGCCGTTGTGAGGAATGTGTGCGTGTACGAAAATGTACCTGTCAAGTTCAGAGTCCTTTAGATTAAAAAAAAAAAAATTATGGCTTATCAATAGTGCCGTTATAGCTGTGTCAGACAATGGGTGTGCCCATTCTCACAATTATCCTTAAAACAAATCTATGTTCAAATGCTTTAAAAGTTTATCTCATGGTACAAAAGTATAACTTTGTCAGCCTCCTAGAATTCTTTTTTTCTTTAATTTTCTTCCATATTTTTTTTCTTAAAAATAAATGAAAACTTGATTTCTGTCAACAATTGTATTAAGGGTGAATATACTACCTGAATTTTGTGCATGTTACATTGTAGTTGTAACCTTTTCTAATTCAGGATGAATACGAGATGGTTGTGATTGTGCAGTGTACCAATAAAGTTCAAAGAAATTTGTAATTCTGGGGGGGGCTTTTTATTAGGACATATCATTGAGCATTTAGGGGTGGAGAAAAGTGGAGCAGACCAGGCTGCTTCTATGCGTGTGGTTTAGGCTTCGGGGATTAGCTGTGATCAGAAATTCAAGTCTCTCCTCTCTCTCTCTGTGTTTCTCTCTCACACACAGCATAGAAGGCAGTCCAAACACTTTCTCTGTTACACCTGTATATCAAACATCTATGCCATTTACAAATGATACAAAATACACCTGCAGCCTCAAAGCCTATTGATTGACCTAGGTTCAATAGAATCT